AAATAAACTCATTTAGGCTCTTGCAGGAAGATACTTAAAATGTCTAAATTAAGTATAATTTAGTAAGTAGTAAAATTTCATGCGAGAATGAACGAGCATCTCTGTACCTAGGCACGAAAATACGAATTGGATCATGCATGAACTGGTGCATCAGGCCAAGACAGCTTTGTGGAAGAGTGGCTGAGACAAGGATAACCTGAAGTTGTTTCTGGTAGGAAATCCAGGGATGTGGGTCAATGTCATTACCAAGGTCATCACGTTCGGCTAATGGGCGAGCGCCAGGAAGTTGACGGTAAATATCCTCAAGCTGGTGACGCAAGCCTTGGTTGAGCATCTCATCCGCCTCATCAAGGATGAAAGTACGCAGACCGTGAACACGAAGACAACCTTGTCGAAGAAGATCTATAGTAAAGACAATGAGAAATCATTTTGAAAAAAATTAGCTGGAGCATAAGAATAAAGAGTATGAAATGAGCAGGATTCGAAATTTAGCGAGAGCATTTTAGTAACGCATCAATAAAAGAATTTCAAGCTTTTAATTCGTATTTTATGTATAACTAGTTAGGGCTAATAAAATATTCAGGTAACATTGTGGTCAGATTGATCAAACAATATGAATTGAGAAAAGCATTATATAACAGTAGATAATTCCAGCCAAATAATTTAATAAAAATTAAAGCGCCTCCCAAACGTAGGTCATTAAAAGTAAACAACAAATACACCCAACTGGTGCATTTACACACTGATAAAATGATGCAGTAACAGAAAAATGAGGCAAGCTTTTCACTGAGATCGGGTCACATCGGGTAATGCGGTATTTAATAATGCAGTCGCAGAACAAAGTGGGTTACGTAATACATCATAAACAAGATGGTGTTGCCCTCGGTATAGTCGCAGTCTCCTTTCGATGTATAAAGTGGGTTGATCTCATTTTAGCAACTTCTTGTTGTCAGGGCATTTAGTTGGACGTCTGAGAATCTAACAAGTCCACGTTCTGACTCTGGGAATTATGATAACTACTATAGCAGAGGACTTTGGACAAGATGCATCCAACTAAGTCGCCCTGATAGCAAATGCGAAAA